GATATCAATCTTTAATTATAATAGGCAAATTAAGTTTTCGAAATCTGAAATTAATATGAAAGTTTTAAAAGTTAAACTCATTGCCCTCGGCCTCAAAGTTGAACGTCTTTTCCAGGATAAAAAGGAAAGTAAAAAAACTGAAATTGAATCATTGAATTGCGAGTTTTTCCATCTCGCTTCGACTCGAGTATTTGATTTTCAGGTTGGAACGCTAAAAAGTTGTCATTCTTAAGGTCTTGAATGAAAATAAATGTAAAAAGCCCGAGGGCTAGTAACAGTAAATTCAGTGGCTGATCATTCTTACGAATTCAAGGACTTCCTTTTGTCGTTTGAAGGATAGATGGGATAGTCGCTGGAGGAAGTGAAGATATGAATTCCAAATTTGCATGCAAGGAAGCATGAATTTATCGGTGATGATAAGGCCATCGGGAGTGATGGATGGACCATTAGAAATCATTGATGTGTTAAATTTCCCGGCCAAGAGGTACTTACTATCATTTTTCCGTTCACTTGAACCCATGGAAATCGCGGAAAACCGGTGTAAAGACCGAAATCCAAACACCGAGAAATATAAACATCCAAAACACTTAAGAATTCAAATTTTACAGTTCAACAAATATTTCCTTAGACCCCAGTAGTCTCCCAATCCCTTCGTTCATCCATATAAAAAATTATAATTAATAATTTTTCAAAATATTTATATATAATTATTTGAAAAACACATCCATATAAATATTTATTTAAAAAAACTGAGAATTGAAATTTTTTCAGGGATGTGAATAAAAATATAAATGTATTGTAATAAATTGTAAATAAACAATAATTGTAAATAAACAATGTGCTTTAGGAAAATTGAAATAGGTGAAATGGAATTGTTATTAATTTTGAATGATTAAAATTTTGTTTCAGTGATAAATTAATATTGAATAGATAATTAACGGGAGAATTTTAAAAATTCAATTTTTAATGAAGAATTGGTGTAGATTGATTGAGTGGGGACGATAGATCGATTTCTCCTGAGAGTGCGGTATAGTCAAGACACAGTGTAAACAACAGTGGTTCAGGACTATCTGTACTGAGTGCAATTGCGATAGGAGCCATTTGTTGTACCGTGACCGATGTGGCATCTGACGTACTAAACTGTATTAGGGCGTCACTTGCCCATATAACACCGATATTGACTCGGGATCAACCCCTGTCAATCCACACCGACACAAATATCGAATTAACCCAACAAAAATAATTGTAATAACAATTAAACGATTAATAAATGGAAATCCCAGTGAAAATGTCAGGCATTTTTACGGGTAAGCGGAAAATATATCCCCGGAAAAAATAGCCCACACACCCAAAACGTGTTAAAACCCACCCAATTTGATAGACCATAGGAAAATTAGAGCCCCTGAAAAAATAGACAACGAAAAAAATAATTAAATTAGAAAATAATTAAATTGGGCGAGTTTTAGCACGTTTTGAATGTGTGGGATATTTTTTCCCTGGGATATTTTTTCCGGGATTCATTTTTACGATGATTTTGAAAATTTTATGACGTAACGTCTGATACTGAGTTTTTCAATCTATATTTTGAAAATCGATTATCGTTGGATTTTTGCCAGCCAAATCGATCTTTTTCCATCGAGATCGCAATATTCTATGATTTATTAATTGCATTGTTATTAATTTTCAATTGCATTTTTGGATTTAAAAAATGAGGAACAATTAATATAAGTATAATATATTTGTTATTTAAATTCTAAGTGAAAATCGAATATCCACCTGTATTTCAAAGAATTGCTAAACTGAGCAACAATGAAATATGTGGAAATATTGGAGGTAATTAAACAATAATAAAATAGAAAAACGGTGAATTTTTTTTGGGTGATTAATAAAATAAATTGCCGCAAGTGTTAAATGATTAATCTCGACTTTATGACTTGGCTGAGGTACCTATTGACATTTACCGTTTGAATTACAATGTTATGTAACTTTCCGATGATCTTGTGGAGTTTAACTCGAACATGGCAATGTCATGTTCCCCAGTCATGGTACAGTGCACAAGACAAACATAAAACCCCCAGAATTTCTCTGTCTACTGGCCATTTTGCTGAGTAAATTCCCAGCATAAACCGCATTTATGACGGATACCCGTACATCCAAGAGATGTAAATTTGCATTTTCTCCACTCATCAACTTCAACTTTTAAATCTCTACTCAATTCCACATTTATTTCGACATTCTACTTGTACATGGCTTTGAGCTCTCTGTTTACTTCTCTTTACATCTATTTGCATCTTTGTTCCCTAATCTAGTTTTCAACTCGTACATTTGGCATCTCCTCTCGGACTCGGCTGTTTCTCATAAAATAACATTTCAATCATTCGATTTCACTCACGGAAACTCGGAGAAAAGTGAATTGTAAATTCTTGTTGAGACCCTTGGATACTAAATCTTTCAATAAAACATGAGACGGATGTTTTCCTTCCGTTATATTACCCTCTCAATACTTCAGTTTTTTCAGAAACTGAATATTAAAAATAAAATGCAAACTTCTCTCATAAAAAATTTTAATAACGATTTTAATATCGTTATTTGCCTACACTGAGAGAAATATTCAATAAAAATTACGTGTATTTTCCGTAATTCTGGGGCGAAATGTGGTTGTCGGAAATTTTACGGAACTGTCACGTAATTTTTATCTAAAGTCACGGAATTTTTCCGCGGTGTTCCATAATTTTTATCTGAATTATCGGTGCACGGAAAGAAAAATACCGGAAAAATTACGGAATTTTCTCGTATTCGTGGGGTGACCTTGGTTTTCGGGAAAAAATACTGTAAGTTCCGTAAAAATTTTCGTAGCGATCGGGAATTTTTACGAAACTTTCAGGACAATTTTACGGTACCTCCAGTACTTTTTCCCGAAAAGCAAGGTCACCCCAAGAATACGCGAAAGTTCCGTAATTTTTCCGGTATTTTTCTCTCCGTGTGAAAAATAACGATACCGTCACTTAAATTTTTCGAATCAACTCCGTAATCGGTAATTGAACTGAAAGTTCCATAATTTTTACTAAATATTTCCGTGTACTTATAAAAAACAAATTACATTTCAGAATCTGGAATTTATGATTAATTACTTTTTTCAAATTGGGATGTACTACAATATTTTTCTAGTGAATAAAAATCCGGGAAATTCATTTGATTACTCATTTCATTGAAATTTTCATTCCATTCCAGGAATGAATGTACGAATCGGAGGAATGGGAGAAATAAAAAATCAATATTTTCGTACAACCTCGGTGTTAAGATTGTTTATTATAGGGGAGGGTTTTTCATGCGTTAACGAGCTATAAAAAATAAGTAAATAAAAAAAAAACCAAATAAATTAGAGGCAGAAATGTGGAAGGTATACTTCACACACTCGAGTGCCAGCGAAAACTTGTCGACCCTAATGAACGGTTAAGGTATTAATTAAGCGCTTTTTTTCGCATGTACAGTTAATCTTCTGGTTACGAAATGTAGGTTATACCGGTCATACCCAAAGTTCTTTCAGAATTCCTCAAGTTTTCATTTTATCTCATAAAATTATTCCTCTTTATTTCATTTTTATTCACCTTGCGCTCACTACCACATTTTTTCTCCCCCATTTTTCAGAATTTTTTGCTGTTTCCATTTTAATAATAATATTCCGGGTATAATTGACTGAATAATTTAATTAACAGTTGGTACACTGATGAGAATAAAGGCTTTTGAGAATGGCGTATTTATTTGCGACGAAAATTTGACTCTTTTATTATTTGCAATTTTTTATTGAATTCCTCTTTCAATTTGGGAAAGGTAATTAACGATAATGACTCCGTAAAAGGATAAAATCGTTAATGTCGCGGATTAAAATTGTTAATTAATGGTCATTGCGTTTGTTTGAGAGCCTGGAGGCTTTTTTATTGGGCCGTTGTTTATGGATTTTTTATTTTAATGCAAGTCATTACGAAAATTCAACTTTTGGAGAATTCTGGGTTACTTTCGGAAAATTCAGAGTTCAAATCTTTTTCTCTGTCTCCCTTTCTGTTTACACGGAACAAAAATCAATACAAAAATTGCGGAACGTGTCGCGTATAAATTCACCGAAATAAGAGTAAATTTTCCACTAGACAATTCAACCCGTAAAATTGATTTCCACAATTTCCCGTTCTATAATCCACAAAAGTTCACAATTATCCCGAAATAGATGAAAATTCATGGAAATAAAAATATTAATCTATTAATCAAGAATTCCGTATTTTTTTTATTGTCTGACCTGACGTTGATATTCTCCACTTATCACCAGCCGCGAAAAAAAACTGTTTTTCCTAAAAAATAGAAATAGAAATAAATGAATGAATTTTCACACTAAATATTCTCTGACGATTTTCTTTCCCCAAAAAAATCCCCGGATTCTGCCCCAACCCCTAATTTCAGTGATCATTATTATTATTATAAAATGGATTCAACATTCGACTTGATATGAAGAAAAGATTTTCCAAGAGTGAAAGATAATTCCGTTAACCTTACTCCCCAAAACAATTTGAATAAAAAATATGAAATTATAATTATAAACAAGATCTGACATTCGCCTTGAGATGAATAAATAAACTGCAAAAAGTATAAAAAAAAAAATAAACATAAGCGAGTACAATGGGTGAATGAGAAACTGATGTAAACTCAAGTTGAGGGGAGAGAAAAAGGAGGTGAAGTCGTGGTGGAGCATTTGGCCATCCATTTCTTGATCCTGAGGTATACATCAGGCTCTGGTGGTACCTCACGTACATCTATAAAGCAAAGCATCATGCTGGTGTCCAATGGCACTTATGAATATTTCAGAATGAGTGAGACAGAGGTAACACGAGTTTACATCTCCCTGGAGGGATGTGCACGGAGCTCCTCCACGGTCCATTCCCTAGATGGATAACGAGAGTAAAGGGTGCCGAGGGCTTTTCAGTGGAAAGGTTGAATCGATCGATACTCACGATGCACCATTTAGCCGAGGCTGGACACTCCTGGAGATGCATTTGAGCGGTCGAATTGATGCACGGGGTGATACTACCTACACCATCATTGTACTGGCCGCATTTGTAGCAGCTCAGGATCCCCTCAGACTCTCCTGCAATCAAAATCCCATCATTACACTCATTACCATAATCATTTCAATTATTGGTTACCAGAGATTGGTTAATCCCGTTCAATCCAGTCGATCATTCTAATCATTCTAATCATCACGGAAATTATTCAAATTTATTTACCACGTCGGTACATCTTACATGAAAATCATAAATCATCCCCTGGGGGATTGACGAGGAAAATTTATTTTCTCATTTGAATTTGGCTTTCAACGTCTTATTGTCAGCTACACGGAGAGAAATATTTAGTAAAAATTACGGAACTTTCAGTTTACTTACCGATTACGGAGTTGATTCGACAAATTTAAGTGACGGTATTGTTATTTTTCATCGACAATTCAGATAAAAAATACGGAACACCGCGGAAAAATTCCGTGACTTTAGATAAAAATTACGTGACAGTTCCGTAAAATTTCCGACAACCACATTTCACTCCAGAATTACGGGAAATACACGTAATTTTTATTGAATATTTCTCTCAGTGTAGAAAGGAAATATATGTCAAATCAATAATTAATTGATAAAAATTGAATGAAAAAATTCAAATTGTATTTTCATCCTCCAAAAATGATAGATCATCCCCTGGGGGTTTGATGAAAAAGAAAAATTGTTCTCGCATTATTCTCGGGTTTTCCACGGACAATATCAATCTTCCACTGAAATCTATTCTTTCAGTCTCCATTCGATTTTGAAAGCAGTAATTTTTTATCGAGTAATCACGTTGTACTGTCCCGTCAACGTCTCCTCGACTTTATCCACATGTGGACGATGCCATACCAACTTTTTCAATTTCTTCTCTCACGAGATTGGCAAATCTGGTGGGCGGAACCTCCCATCCACATCGAATCGATATAAAACTCGGTCTAGCCGTCACCTATAAACCCTTCAATTTCTCCATCCACACCCCCTCCACCCCCTCGACTCATTAACCCCGAAATGATTATTATTATATCCATTACGGTTCTATTATTATACCCAATCAAACTCGATCGAAATTCGATAAACAAAAACAGGAGGAAATGATTTTCCACTCTTCGAATTTCCACTTCATTGAAATCGAATTAAATATCGGGGCAATTTAACCATTTGGTGGTGAGTCAACAAAGGGTGAAATAAAAAAAAAAACGGCAAATGGCGGAAGTGCATCGATGCACTTGTGCTTTTTTATCTCGTTGCGAGTTTGCACTAGTGTCGGATCTTTTCAACGCTCGGATAACTAGTCTACGCTTCAGTTATTATCCGGTATTTGCCAAGTGACAATTACTGACATCCGAGCATTGACAGATACATTGTCATGGCAAAACTAATGGCTCAAGAAAACATTTTGAAAATAGTTTGGGATATTTTTTTGCAGTGAAACGTCACAGCTAAAACTGCTGTTTCGAAACAATGGGAAATTTTCAACTTTAGTTCGGGGTGAGCGGATGAAATATATTTCCGGTTGAATAAAACCTGAGTGGAGTCACATTGTTTTGACAATGTCTCTGGACTTATAAATTTTCACTTTACTGATACTGACAATTTCTCGAATAACCGCAAAATATTCTGCCCCACATTTTTGGTTAATTACGTAATTATTGAATATTTCATTGAATTATCAACTCAATTCGATTCTGCAAATCAATTACAAACAATTCACCAATTATAAACAATTATGTATTATTTAATAAGACAGAAAAATATCTCGGAAAATTTTTTTATAAACAAATTATTGGATTATCTATTTGACGTTATCAGTAATAGAAAAATTATAATTGTTATTATTATTGGTATATATAGGTGTGATGACAGAACGGACTCCAGGCACAAAGTCCATTCAAGTTGCAATAAATATTTTTCAAGTTTTTCTTATCGCCGCTCAAAGCGCGAGATAATTTTTCATGTGACCCATTTTTCACGAGGACTCTCAAATAGAAAGAGAGGGACAATGTTTTACGAGTACTTCAAAGTGTTTAACAGGCTCGGGTAATATTATGGAAATTTTTTCCCTCTAATGTGTCGAACTGGTTTCATGCACAAAATGACAGGGCTTTGGAGTAAACTGTCAACGTTCTGATTAAAAATTCCGTCCTCAAAGCGTTAAAGAAATATAAACAAATTGTAAAAGCAGAAAAAAATTAATTATCTCCGTAAGATTGCCACGTACACGGAGAGAAATATTTAGTAAAAATTACGGAACTTTCAGTTCACTTACCGATTACGGAGTTGATTCGAAAAATTTAAGTGACGGTATCGTAATTTTTCATCGATAATTCAGATTAAAATTACGGAACACCGCGGAAAAATTCCGTGACTTTAGATAAAAATTACGTGACAGTTCCGTAAAATTTCCGACAACCACATTTCCCTCCAGAATTACGGAAAATACACGCAATTTTTATTGAATATTTCTCTCAGTATAATTTACATTTTCATGGTAGTTGTAACATAATTCATGAATAACGTAAAGACAATTATCGATTGCCAAACATTTCGTGATTATTTATCATAATTTAGATATGTTGTAAATTGAGATAATGATATTTCATAAAATATTGAAGTCTGATAGACTTGACGTAAGAATTAAGTACCGCATCGTTGATCAAATTCCTGGCTCGTGCCAGTGAATTTTTCACTCCAAAAATAGATAGCGGTAATATATGATAACAATCGCGAGAGACACTTTGAGATTTAGCTGATCTATTCCGCAGATAAGGAATACAATTGAAATAAAGTGTTGCATTGGCTCAAGGTGGAATTGTTCGGTTCTTTTCACCGTTGGGGTTGGAGTAAGTATAGGTTCTCCAACAGCATGAAGCACTTTCCCATTTGACTCTGGGGTACCCGTCGTTCTCTTTATCTTATCGGATCGCTGAAGATGGAGAGGAGGTATGCCAACTATTTCTCATGCTATTCCCTCCCATCTCCACCCTCTTATTCACCACATCTACTCTACACGCCCTTCTCATTCCCATCCGGATACCTTCGGTACAGGAGAGTGACACACTGAGAAAAATTGTTTTCCACACACTGTAAGTAAAATGAAAATTCAGTTATTTTTATTCTCCTTTTGATGACGAGAAATTGGATTCGATAATTACGAGCCCAGTAGTTCTTTCAACAACAATACATGATCGATTCATCTAATTTAATCAGGTCGACCCATTCAGCATCGATCTGCATGAGATCGAGTCGATCTTCTTCTATCGAGTCATTGAAAATCGTGACACTTTCCAGTTCATGCTTTTTTATCAAAGGAAAAAAATCATTAAATATAAAATCGATCTGGAAAACGATTTTTTAAACAATCGAATATCGAGTGTAAAGTAATAGATCGTTAAAAATCGGTTACATAAAATATATTTGGTAAAAGATTTTTGAATATTTCCCAATGGCGCCAGTAAAAAAAATAATTGAAATACTCCGAGGTAACTTTAATTAAAAATACCGTCGAAACACCCGTACAGGGGTTTTTTCCATCCCCTGTCGTCGATTCGGACAATCAGACGAGCACAAAAAAAAACGACAAAGAAATATTGAAAAAAAAAAAAATTGACAATGTCGAATTGTCCAGTGGAAGAAGCCCCGAAGGGTTTTAATCTGTCCCCCGAATAATTCCGATTCTCAAGCTGAAAACTGGTCGGAGAAAGTACATCTCTCTCCAGCCCATTCTCACTGATCCGTTATTCCAGAAAGTCCTCAAGCCGGAAGCATCTGCGACAACGAAGAAGCGATAATAAAACCCCTTCGAACGAAAAAAGAATAATCCATAAAAAAAAATATATGAAAGACCACAAAAGATCATGAGAGGTTTAGAAAAAAATACAAGACCGAAAAAAACTTCTTCATCACAGAGATAAAGGATCATCCCGAGATCCATTGAAAGAGTAGCCCTTATTATATTCAGAACCAACGGAATTAACTTCAAGTACCAATTTGTTACGTTTTATTCTCTCTTTCTAGGCACGTAGCCAGGAAATCTCAGAGACCGGTGGATTAATCGGAGGGGAAAGAGATCACCCAGAGGATCGCAGGAGCCAAAACGAGGGCCGGCCCTTCCCCTGGAAAAAAGCACGGAATGAGTGAAAAAGGTGGAAAAAAAAATATATCACGAGGGGGAAAAAAAAAATAAATGCAGAGGTAAAAAGAAAAGGTGCCCTGGAGATCCTGAGTCTGGAGGAAGTTGCGGTATAGGGTAACGCGCAATCTCGTATCTGCGTCCGACGGCTATGGGCCCTAGCCCTTGGTCCAGTCCACTCCAATAATTCAGACGTGTCAAGACCAAGAACTAGTTCACCCGAAAAGATCATCTATATCTGACTATTTTCCTTTTTCGATTATTCTTCTTCTCTCATTTCCTCATGTCAAATACTGCGGACCAACCCTCACACCGAGAAATAATCAGCAGTGATAATAATAATAATAAAATGCGCAGATATGCGATTTATAATATAAAAATATAGAGCAAGAATAAAATAGGATTTATAAAATTGAAATAATAAAGAAATATTTAGTTTTATGTATATATACCATGGAAAAAGGGAAAAGAAATAAGAAATATTCATTCTTACCCCTCGAATAATTATAAGGGAAAACGTGAATCCGTTAACAAAAGGAAAAAATTCAATATTTTACTGACGGATTCAGTTCTCTGGAGATGCCCTCCAAGGGACTCACCTCGAGATCGTAATCTTGGCTTCTGATAATTGTTGAAACTTATGATCGTCCACTCCTTCTCACTCTGAGCCCTCAAATTTTCGAGTGGCACTTGCCAAACACGAAGAGAGCAAGAGAGATACCATGTGGATGTTACATAACCGAGATAAAGAGGAGAAGGGCTTTACTCGGATAGAGTTCCAAGGATGTGTTGACATAGTGATTATCGATTACCGATTTTCAGTACCTTGGCAAATACCACATACACCCACCAATCTGTTTTCATAACTTGATGGAATTTTTTCGTTTCCAGTCGAGAGGAAATTGATCTGTTTGTCAGTCGTCCTGAATTCATCAAGAATTTGAGTGTCTCGCTGCCAAGAGATAAATTCAAGTGGAAAAAAATATTCCACCGAGGAAAATAGGTGGATCATTGCTCGGTTAATGGAATGATTTTTATTTCTCATTGTTTTTGTTGAGGATTTTTTTTTCGGGTTTATTTAATGGTGGCACTTACCGATACAAAACACCAGGAGTAAGAAGACACTGCAGATGATCACGAGAGGCACTTTTGTCCACCCAGACATGGTCCTGATTATGATAGTCCTTCGTTTCCTCTTCAGAAATCCACTTTTCACCCTCTTCTAATATTCAATAATTTCCCCAGATCGGCGTCCAGCTCCACCCGATTTTTTAATAATAATTAGAATTACAATTTTTAAAGGCAATTTTCAAAAATCCACTTGTCACTCTCTCAATTCTTCTAACCAATGATTTCCTTCGAATTGTGTACTCCACCGATTTTTTCATTCACCAAAAAAAATCGAGCTACTCTGCAATTGTCTGTTTAATTTTGAGTTTCAGAGAGAATAAATTAGCGTCAACACTTCTGCCTTTATTTCTGGTCTGAATTATCTCCGGATTTCATCCACGCTTAATTACGTTATTATTAACAATTTTGTTTGGAGTTTCAGAGATAATGTGTTTGCGCCAACACTCCAGTCGTCATTGTGTCACAATTTGTGATGTATCCATCTCACGTTTATTCCCGTCCAGAGATCGGTGGACAATGCACCTTCCGGGCCAAACAACCGGAATTAAACCGTACGGTTACGGGATTTAATGTCCCTATCTCACATGACACGCTTTATGATATCATGTCAAGGACAATAGGGATGTGAAGGATCGCACACTAGTTTTCAACGGGGGGTGGGTGTACAAAGAGGTGTACAAAGAGGGGGTGGCGAATGGTGGAAATGAAGCAATTGTCTTACGTTAAATGTTGACACAAAGATAATATCGATAATAGTAATTTATAAATAATCCTGGTAAATTCACTCCCTCACTTCTCTCAATTGTCCTCAATTTTTACCAATTTTTGATAATTTTTCTCTTCCTCTTTTGAGTTATATCTCCCCTATTTTTTACCTCGACAGGCTTTTTTTTCGGCGACAAATTACAATCTCGATTCGACGTTCTCAATTGCCCACGCTATTGTTCCTCTTTTACTCGTCTTTTTAACGTGTCCAATACTCAGGCTTTTATTCTCCCCCTTTGTTTTCCTTCTTTTTTTCTTTATTTCAATTTTTTCGTCGACAGTGAGGTACTACTTTATCACTCTCTTCTCGATTTATCTTTTATTACGAAAATGTCTTTTTCTCGATTAGTCGGTAATTATAGCAGTTGTGGGAGATTGTTTAAAGTCACTTTTGGTGGAATAACTCGAGCAGTTGTTTATTCTTCAGAGAGTTGTTTTGATGACTCGATGCCGACAAGAGTCGCGGTACAACTGAATCCGGAATTTCAGATTTTGTCGGGGTAAATGCCCTGGGGAGAGTGACTACTTTATTTTACAACGCGGTTGAAAATCTGTTTTTTTGTTGTCGAAAAAATTTGAAATATTTGTCTATTAATGATGCGGACACACACGCAACTGAACGCGGTACCGACTCGATGGACATTGGTCTGCGATGAAATTTTTCGCGCATTTGACCGTTGAGCACGTCATTGCGACGGAGGTAACGTGGGGGCAGCACCAGTTGGACTTACTTTATACGTATCCCCACCTTCGACGGTATTTCCCCTACTGCCGCATCACCCGATATTTCCGACGTACCGACGAACAAATTCCGCTGGAAAAAAAAAAATTTATTTATTTATTATTAATTTTTACTTTTATTTCAATTTTTAAAAAACAGTTTTTGACGAACCGATACACAACCTTCATAAAAAACAGACTATTTTTATTTATTTATTATTCTATATTTTTATTTTTGTTTCTATAAAGAAAATTTTGTGTATCGATACATCAAAAACTGAATTTCAATTCGGAATTCCGTTAACATCAGGATTAGGATCAGGATTGGAATGAAAAGAGATGAATGTAGATTAAAACATTTGTTTTCGAACAATTGCGAATTTTTATTGCAATATCTTAAAAGGGAATTAGTACCGTCATCTGTCGGATGTGTGCACAGGTACACGTAACGTAAGATATGTAGTGTTCATGTAGAAGAAAAACCCTTTGATACCGGCAGGACATTTGTTTGTGGTATATAGAATATATAATATATTATGTTTAGAGCAGAGACGATTTTTTCACTTGTGAGCTATTGAGTGATTATTAACGTAAATTTGGTGAAATAAATTGAAGGCAATAAATTGAAATAGATACATTAAAATGTCGTGCACTCCGGGGCTCATTGTCAAATGGGGGAGCGATGAACGAGAAATAAAGGATATTTTTGATGATACAACAATTGCTGAATTGAAGGCTAGAATTTACGAGGAAACGGGTGTTCGTCCTGATCGCCAAAAGCTACTAAATCTTCGGCTGAGAGGTAAACAACTTCGAAATTTTATTCCTCGAAAAACAATCCATTCTAATTAATCATGAATACTTGAATTATTTAGTTAACTAAAAAAATTGTGTTATAAATATTCTGAGCTTGAAGACAATTTTCCTCAATATCACCGATAACAGTGTAGAAATTATCTAGTTACCTCGCCACTCTATTTAAAAAATGATTTATTATTTGAATACCTTTCCAACGAATAAATCGTGAACGTCTGATTGTCGAATTCCAGGAAAACTAGCAGAAGACGAGCAAACGATTGGTTCGATCGGCCTGAAGCCGGGTTTCAAGCTAGTCCTGATGGGATCCAGGGAGGAAGATATTGCAGAAGCAAGCAATCCCCCGGAGAACATGAGCGAAGTAGTAAATGACTTAGACAACGACCAAGAGGGCGAGGAAGTCGTGGTGGAGAACGCTGAGGTCTATCTGGCGAAGATCCACAAAAGAATTCAGAATTACAAAATCAACGAGTTGAATCCACTGCGTGAAAACAAGAAACTCCTGGTGCTAGATATCGACTACACTCTCTTCGATCATCGATCAGTCGCTTCCAGTGGTAGTGAACTGATGCGACCATATCTCCACGAGTTCCTCACTCGTGCCTACAAGCACTACGACATCGTCATCTGGTCAGCCACAAGCATGAAGTGGATCAATGAGAAAATGAAACTACTCGGTGTCAGCAATAATTCGAATTACAAAATAGCATTTCACTTAGATTATCTCGCTATGATATCAGTTTGCACACCTAAATACGGTCTCGTCGATGTGAAACCTCTGGGGGTTATCTGGGGAAAGTATCCAGCTTATTCAGCAAAAAATACAATAATGTTCGATGACATCAGAAGGAATTTTCTCATGAATCCAAAGTCAGGTCTCAGGATCAAGCCCTTTCGACAGGCTCATCTCAATCGAGATAAAGACAGAGAGCTGTTAAAACTTGCTCTGTATCTGGAGCTCGTTGCTGATGTACAGGATTTTCAAATGCTCAATCACAGAAAGTGGGAGGAATACAAGAGCAAGAAACACCGCAGGAAGAGTCAGAGACCAAGTGATGAGTTCCATGGATAAATTACTCACTCATTATTTCGCTTCTCTTAGTTCCATTCTAAAAATTATTTTTGACTATTTCCATCATTGCGGTTTTCTTCCTCCCAACGACTCCGAATTTTCCAAATTTTCGTGTTTCCTTGGGAAATAATCAGGGAAATTCTTCAAAATGTTCATTGAAATTTTCCGATTTTTTTTCGTCTTCCTATGATAATTTATTTAATCTTTATTTTCCTCTGGTTTATCAGCAAAATGAATGATTTTTTGATTGATATGTCATATTTTTATTTTGATAAGCAAATTTTGTCAGAGTTTATTATTATTTGAATGCAGAAATTATTAGGAGAGTTTCTTGGTTTTTAATATATATTCGGTTAATAATGTAGAAGAGAGAGATAGCGCATTGAAACGATGCCATCTGCATGTAACGAGCTTCAGACAAGTGTTGTTAGACACCTGATCTGATAATTACAATGTAAATAAAACAAGTGTAATAATCATAAGTGATAATAAATTTGAAAAATCCAATGAAATATCGTGATTAAGTCGTCCGCAGATAGAAAATATTTTACGATACCACAGAATAATTATCTGAATCGAGGATGATTGGAGGTTAGATTAAGTTTCAATGTCAATTTTTCATTCAATTTCATCATTTTTTGGTGATAATTGAAATTGACACGTCATGGCGATGAACGTTTTGAACAGCAGTCTGGAGAATGCCTCCTTCAACATTATTTTTCAGGTATAAAACAAAAATCATTGCTATTATTATTGCAAAATGATATCGACAATGCACGTAAGTGCAATTTGTTGTTAGAGTAAAAAACATGTGTAATGATATTTGTTACAGATTTTCTGTCGACTTCTCACATTTGTCCTGAATGTATTTGTTGTGAGGAACGTGGGAGAAGCTGTCCTGGGGGTCATGAACGTCAGATTATTGTTGCTTGAATCAACAATACTTTTTTTATCCAGAGAACCATTTTTCAAAGCCTGTCTCACTAATGCTGCTGAACATAATTGGGCGCAAGTCGTTAATTTACTCTGGCTAACGTAAGTTTTTCGTCTCAAACAAATAACGTGAAAAAAATGTCAACTCCATGGGCAAAAATGTAGACAAAATGGAAATCAATGAATTTTGAAACATTTTGGAAAATCTATAAAAATCGTGAATACTTGAGAAATCATTTGATTCAGAAAAAGTTTACGAGATTTTTTGTTTGATTTCGTAGGATTCCAATTTCTTCAGTAATTTCTTTCATATTCGGGTACATCTGGTTGTACATCCTGGCGACATCGGAGACTCTACCAGACTACTACACATTTGCAGTGATTTCTGTAGCTATTTCTTGTGTGATTCATTTACTATCCCTAGTGGCTCAACTGGTCTCCTCAGCCTTTCTCTTCAATCGATTCAAAGTATAACACGATTTACTCCAATAAATAAGTCTTTGAATTGTCACTTAAACGATTTGTATTTCAGGTTGTAATCGAGGCGTCAGCTATCGTCTTCAGGACTTTTCTTTTCGTCCCAATAGTTCTTCATCGGCCAGAAAATGCACTTCTAGCCTTCGGAGTGGCCCAATTGGCTTACGTTATGTTCTATTCTCTAGCTCATTACATTTATTTCCATTGGTACATTCAACGGCTGAACGATCAGAGAATTAGACTCAAGAAAACCGACTCTTCAGACAGTGACGAATTGACAGATAACAAGAACGAAGGAATGGCTGATTTTCCATTTAATTCCATCAGAGATTTTCTTCCCGGGCAATTGAAAAATAATGTAAAACAGATAATAAGCACAAATTAATTGCAAGGAAGTGATTAATCTGACATAAATTATTTTTTATTCCCAGGATTCGAGGTTTGATAACAAATTAACAGTTCTCACTTGGAGTTTCTTTCGTCAAGGAATTTTGAAGCAAATTCTAACAGAAGGCGAGCGCATCATCATGACTGTCTTCCCAGTGATCACATTGGCAGAACAGGTATGAAATAACTATTTAATATACCTTGTCGCTATGAAAATTGTTGCTATACGTCCCCTTGCCCGATGCCAAGTTCTGCATACGTTAAACATCTTGTCCACCCCTCTGGATGTGCATCCTGGGCTTGTGATCCTCAGGGAACGTATGATGTTGTGAATAATTTGGGATCATTAGCAGCGAGATTCATCTTTCGTCCGATCGAGGAAAGTGGATACTTTTACTTCACGCAGGTTGTCAAGAGAGACGAGAAGATTAATCAGCAGAATCCTGTGAGTTTAATTGAATTTTTATAAATATAGTTATTACCATTTATCTGGAGCTGTTCTCGCGGATTTATTTTTAATCATTTAAATCAAATTTGAATAAATACCTCCTTAAATTTCATGTTCTCCTGATAATTTTTCAAAAGTTTGGAATTTCATATTTTCGGGTAAATACCTGCTTGATATTCATGTTCTTCTGATACTTTTCAGAAAATTTCGAATATGTCAATTTAAGAAAATACCTTTTTGGTTCTGATGATTTCCTGATAATTTTTTTAAAATTTTGAATTTTCACATTTCAGTGAATATCTCCTCCATTTTCATGTTCCCCTGATACTTTTTTGAAATTTTTGAATTTCAGTGAATACCTCCTCAATTGCCATGCTCCCCTAATACTTCTTCAAAAATTTCGAATTTTCAAATTTTTGTGAATACCTCCTCGATTTTCATGCTATCCTGATACGTTTTCAAAAATTTTGAATTTTCAAATTTCCGTGAATATTTCCTCCATTGTCATGTGCTCCTGATACTTTTTTGAAAATTTTGAATTTTCAAATTTCAGCGAATACCTCCTCGATTCTCATGCTCCCCTGACACTTTTTCGAAAATTTCGAATTTTTCAATTTCAGTGAATAGCTCCTCGATTCTCATGCGCCCCTGATACTTTTTCAAAAATTTCGAATTTTCAATTTTCAGTGAATACCTCTTCCATTGTCATGCTCCCCTGATACTTTTTCAAAAATTTTGAATTTTCAAATTTCAGTGAATACCTCGTCGATTCTCATGCTTACCTGATACTTTTTTGAAATTTTCGAATTTTTCGATTTCAGTGAATACCTTCTTAATCGTCATGCTCTCCTGATACTTTTTCAAAAATTTAGCATTTTCAAATTTCAGTGAATACCTCCTTGATTCTCATGCTCCCCTGATATTTTATCGAAAATTTTGAATTTTTAAATTTCAGCGAACACCTACTCGAGTCTCATGCTTCCCTGATACTTGCTCGAGAATTTCCCATTTTTCAATTTCAGTGAAAACCTCCTCAATTCTCATGCTCCCCTAATACTTTTTCAACAATTTTTAATTTCCATATTTCAGTGAATACCTCCTTGATTCTCATGCTCCCCTGATATTTTTTCAAAAATTTCGAATTTTCAAATTTCAGTGAATAGCTCCTCGATTCTCATGCTCCCCTGATACTTTTTAAAAATTTCGAATTTTTCAATTTCAGTACATAGCTTTTCAATTATCATGCTCCCCTGATACTTTTTCGAAAATTTAGAATTTTTTAATTTCTGTGAATATCTCCTCCATTGTCAGGCTCCCGTAATACTTTTTCAACAATTTTTAATTTCCATATTTCAGTGAATACCTCCGTTGATTCTCATGCTCCCCTGATATTTTTTCAAAAATTTCGAATTTTCAAATTTCAGTGAATACTTCCTTGATTCTCATGCTCCCCTGATACTTTTTAAAAATTTAGAATTTTCAAATTTCAGAGAATACCTCCTCGAGTCTCATGCTTCCCTAATACTTTTTCGAGAATTTCGAATTTTTCAATTTCAGTGAATACCCACTCCAGTGTCATGCTTCCCTGATACTTTTTCAAAAATTTCGAATTTTCCAATTTCAGGGAATGCCTCCTCGATTCTCATGCTCCCCTGATACTTTTTCGAAAATTTCGAATTTTTCAATTTCAGTGAATAGCTCCTCGATTCTCATGCTCCCCTGATACTTTTTAAAAATTTCGAATTTTTCAATTTCAGTGAATACTTTTTCAATTATCATGCTCCCCTGATACTTTTTCAAAAATTTCGTATTTTCAAATTTCAGGGAATACCTCCTCGAGTCTCATGCTTCCCTAATACTTTCTCGAAAATTTCGAATTTTTCAATTTCAGGGAATACCTCCTCGATTCTCATGCTCCCCTGATACTTTTTCGAAATTTTCGAATTTTTCAATTTCAGTGAATACCTCCTCGATTCTCATGCTCCCCTGATACTTTTTAAAAATTTCGAATTTTTCAATTTCAGTGAATACCTCCTCCATTCTCATGCTCCCCTGATACTTTTTAAAAATTTCGAATTTTTCAATTTCAGTGAATACCTTCTCCATTGTCATGCTCCCCTGATACTTTTTCAAACATTTGGGCCATTTAAATCATAAGTACATTAATTTCCGATTGATAATCAATTTCAGGTGAAAGTACGAGAGAGTGTAGACGTTCTCAAGCACCTCTGCTCTGTGGTAACATCCATTGGTCTGATAGTCCTGGTGTTCGGTCAGGCTTATTCATCGACACTTTTGTGGATCTATGGAGGCACTAAATTCACAGCTCATCTTCCTGTTCACTTGATGCAAGCGCACTGCCTTGCAGTTCTGCTTTTAGCGATCAATGGTGTTACCGAGTGTTACACTAATGCAACAGCAGACAGTGCTACCATCAACAAGACCAATATCATCATGATTTATGAGTCAATAGTATTCTTGGTGGCTTCTTATGTGTTGACATCGTGGCTGGGGCCAGTCGGTTTCATATTCGCTAATTGTTTGAATATGGGATCCAGGATCTATCATTCGGTTGTGTTCATCAATGGAAGACATGCTGGAACGAATTATAGGCCGTTAGGAGGACTCGTGCCTAAGTTATTTTTCATCGTCAGTTTGACGGTATCTGCTGTCGTCACTGGTTTATCTTATGTATGTCGTTAATTGATTTATTTATTTATCTCTCTAATTTTGTTTTTCTTGGTGATTAATTTTTTTTATTGTCGCTATTGCAGATAATCTTTTTCCCCGAGCAGAAATTTGTGCACTTCGTCATCGGAGTTTTTATGTTTGCCATTGTTTCGCTCTCATGGATTTATGAAAATCGAGAACTAGTTCAACTTGGCATTGACAAGTGGAGGGAGAGGAGACGTCGGCCAGCGGAAGTTAAAATAGACTGACGAAATAATTGTTGATGCAATATTTATTTTGTGAATCGATATTTTGTTGAAGTATATCGTTTTTCTTTTTACATCCATTCTGGAAGTATGTTGGAAGGATCAAGAGTGTGTTATCCTGGGTTTTCCCCGAAACTTGTAGTCAATATTCATTCGAATTTATATTTGCAGTTAAAGTGGGAGAGGGTAATACATTTTCAAGTGAATAGAAATATAAGCTTTCTTCACTATTTTATTTTATACCCACAGCAACTGAAATAGCAAATCGGCAAATTTTTTGTGTTGTTGCAAGGAAAAAATCATAAAATGACGCGAATACTCATGTTTTTTTTCAGCTTTAGAACAGAAAAAAAAAACCAAATGATTAATCGGAGATATTTATCTCAGTTGTTAATACAGATGTGTAAATATCCGGGTGGCAAAGAAAGAAATTAATTAAAATAAACTTCAGGATTAATTATGAACAGCTTCTCTCATATAAATAGAGTTTCTCCGTTGGGTGATCATCATTCGCATTCGAATTCATCGGTTCTGTCATCAGACAATTGAATCCTCTCATCATGAAGTATCTTTCTATCTTTTTGGTCATTACTATGATCCTCGCAGCTGTTAGTGGTCAACGTTGCAAGGGACGAGGACTGAGAGTAAGTTCTCAAAATTATACAATGGAATTATCAAAAATAAAATTGCCCATAATTCATTTCATTTCGAGCAATTAACTTTTTTTTTTCAGTGCAATTCAAATCGCGAGTGCTGTGCACGCATCTGCAATGCCTGGAGGCGAAGATGTTCATGTACGTATGAATTATTTCACATTACACTCTTAATAAAAAACTTTACTTTAAAAAAATTCCCAAAGATCAGGAAAATTGGCGACAAACAATTCAAATTATTAATTATTTCATCGATTTTCAGAGGGAGATATCGACTAGATCATCTCGATACCGTGGAAATACTTGAAAACTGCCTGTCTTTAGGGTCTTGTCGATCTCAACTGCATTATTATTATCTGCAAATATTTTGTATTGATTAATTATTGATAAATACAAGGGAAAACTATTCAGACAAATTATTGACTTATTGGAAAAAATAATTGGAACCCTTTTGCAAACCTCAACAGTCCTTCACTCGTCCCTCATTTCGTCGTATTATTTTTTTTGCGCTTTTTCGAAAATTTTTTCAACATTTAAATTATGTTAACAATCATTTATAATTTTTTTTTCACATATTGTTAGACGGGGCAAATCCACCGTTAGTTATACGACCGGAATTATCTCAGGGAATAATTAATTTAAATAAAGATCTCATTTATGTAGATTTATTTACTCTAATACATTTATAATAAATCTTACTCATTACATTATACTGTTACCGATAAAAAAACCGTTTTTCATTGAATCCATTGAATTTTAAAATCCAGAATCAACGATATCTCACAATTTCTCGTCACTCAGATCAAAGTCAAACAAATATTGATTGAATCCTCAACTATCACTAATAAATTCATTAGATTAATTACTTCGTGTTAAAAGCAACGGTTTACTCCACCTTGAACAATTCTCCCAATCCCGAATAAATATGTACCAATGTATATCACTTTATATACAGCAATGCCAAGAGTTAATTATCGATCATTATTTTTAATTATTAATTACCTAGTGTCACTTTCTCGATAAATTCACTCATTTTTGAAGAAATCTCAAAAATTTATCATCAGTTTTCCGCAAATATCTCTGCCACCAACAGGTTTGGAGGAAAATGTCACAAGACTTTTTTTGCAGCTCATCAATTTTTCCGCAAAAAAGTTCCAGGAAAAATTTTTCTATCTCTCTCTGACTCCGAGATATCTACATGTGAACTTGAAAAATCGTAGAAACAAAATTCAATTTTGATGATTACCTCCTCGCAATTTCGAGAGTTTATTTATTTACAAAGCAAATTGATAACTGAATAATCACTTCTATTTGAATATCCCAAGCACTGACTTCACTCGATGGAGTTATTCCCTTCCGCATTATCACTTATAATTATCACTCAGAAATCGAAGAGAAACGAATTCCTCCGATAAACAGAAATAAAAATGTTTACCATTTTCTCACTTCAAGTTTTTTAATTCCTTGAAGAAGATCAATTGATCGAAGTGTTGAGTATCTTATGCAGTGATACAACGTACTTTGTTTACAGAAGAATCTAATTATTCTTACGTCATTAGTAACACTTAAATTCGGCATTTCTATCTAGAATTTATTTCGCACTGAGAAAAAAATTACTTTCCCCAAATGAATTGATCTGCCAAATTGATTTACTGCGTGGATTTCCTTGTAAATCTAGTTCGTAAATTTACGATAATTATTTTTCTCCGTGCACCATTACTTTTGCTGATAATATCCCAACAAACATACAATTAGGTATTACAGTACTTTCAGCGTGCATCAGATGACTCATTACTCTCACTAATAGTTTTTTCATTTATTTCGCACATTTTATTGGCTCGTTTATTTATTATTTACGATCCTCCGCGCAAATCTGTTCATCGAATTGATTAATTTATAATTGTAAGATTATTTAAATTTTTTCACAGAATTTTGTATTTTTTATTTCCAAATTCCTGGAAATTCCAGTGAAATCAAATGATAAAAAATTCAATAAAAATTGTCATTAGTGCAATAGTAGAACCCAATTATTCCGTAAAATATCGGATTATCTGAATAATTAATTATTCACCATCACCTCGGGTATCAGTACGTTCTTGCTAATGATATTCCTATTTTCTTCTTCTAATTTAATCATTAATTTCTTGGTGTTTAATGGGATTCAGAGTTGATTAACCGACGCCGCGAATTTGTTAATTTAGAATTTCCATAGTTCATTACTTTTTTGTTCCCCTAAGAATCCGCCAATTAGCATTTTATTCCGGTAATTAACGAGCTAAATGAAATTGCACTGATTTCTCGTTCAGATCGATAAAAATTTCCCCTTGGAGACACTTTGACGTTTTTCTCATTAATTATTGTCAAAGAAAGGGCCACTAATTATTGTCTCATTGACGGATCTTGGAAAATAATTTTTACAATTTAATTAATTAATTAAAACGATCAGTCAGCGTGATTTCAAATTTCATCAATTGAAATAGAAATTTGTGACTGCTCGGTGATTATATTTTCGTTTTATTCTTCATTGCGTCAAAGAACTCCAAGAAGTTCATTACTTTCTTCATTTGCTTTTAATTGCTCAATCAGTGCAATTAAGACTAAAATATCAAATATTAAAACTCCAGATTTATGAATAACTGTTATTATCATAAACAATTTGAGTTCAAAAGTATAAAAGGATGTCGACGTAGAAATAAATGACCGAAGTACATCCTGAACCCAATTTTCTTTTCAATTTCTTATTTAAAGCTGCTGTTTCGAGTTAATGAGTAACACTCGTGCAATATTCATAAATATCGAATCTCATAATCACTTAGACTAATTAGCAATAACCCCCCTAATCTACAAATAAGAGGTAAAAGAAAATAAAAGGAAAGAAAATGCGCCAAACAAAAAATTCTATTCAGATGAATAATTTCCTTAATTTCATTAGAAAAAAAGAATGAAAGATAAATCATTACAATCATTACGTGAATTGCCGCAAGTGCATAATTGCCGTACAATAATTCAGCTTCCATTACAATCTAAATATAATATTATTTATATAAATATAAATTATTCTCCTTAGATTAATTCCAGACACAGGATTTTGCGATTCTCATTCGACTTTCGTTAAACGCTTGGCAATTCACACTATCATTTATTGTGTCATTCGATTTTTTTTCTTATTTTTACACCATAATTACCACATAATTACACGATAGATATAATTAATAACGTTAATCCATTGTAAGTAAATTAATCAGATTGAATTTGATTCATTAGTAGATGGCGAAATACATCATGACTCAGATTGTCGAATTACCTCGACAACGATTGAATTCAGAACCAAATATTCAGATATATTTTCCACTGAATTCATTCATCACATCGCATTCCCATATTCATAAGTCACATCAACTGCATTACATTTTCTTCAACTGAATCTCTAACAAAAAAAGCTGCTGTTTCGATATTTGAGAATAACATTGCTGGGTTAATCACAGTGCAAAGAGATTGAAATTCATCTAATCAAAAATTCCCCCCAAACATTTCGATAAGAAACGTACATCCATGAACCGTTAATATATCATTGTAATTACAATGGAACTTGAGAAAATAATATTAATAATTCCCGGCATCAATTTAATAACGACACGTCCCACATCAACTCGATTAACTCTGAAAAATTCAGTTAAAATCAAAAATAAAATATCGATTGACTGATCCTATGGAAATTTTTATTTTCTCACCCGAAGTCGATAGTCTTCAGATAATACCGACAAATAATCAATTGATGATGAATAAAGATTACTAAATTGCTACTGAATTCTTCAAAGTCCTTTCAAAGTTCAAGGACTCGTCGATATTTTATTTTCTCACAAAAGTTCCATTATTTCCTGGCAATCCTAAATCGCTGGCAAATCGGTGGGCCGAATTCACCCACTGAAAAAGGATTATCCCCTCTCCAGAATAATTCGTACTATTAAAATAAGAATAACTGTTAGTACTATTTACAGCAGAATCATTTTGAGTGATGTTTTTCCCGTTGAATATTTCCCTTAAATGCTCGAATTCTGGTGGATTACGTCATAATTCATCCTAATGATCCCTTAAATATCTAGGAAAAAGATCTCTATGGCCTCACTACAAATAAATCAATGCTTTATTTCTCTTTCCCATATCTCAATCTGTGCCTGTTTACCTTCGCTCATTAATTATCTCGTCAAGATCAGTGAACTTGATTTTGGTACCTATTTATGCTCCTGTTAATAACAATGATTTAATATACTTTTCATCTAATCTAGATCGAGCATAATTCGTGGATTGAATGATAATCAACACTCGTCCTGCGTCTTCATCGGATTAATTAGTTTAATCCACTTGCTTTTTCATTTTGTACCTTCGAAGACGCAGGACACTTAAATCTACTTAACGAAATTATTCTAGAATTCCTAGATTATTACTCTCCTGTGACTGTCATAAGTGGGTGGACATAATTGTTAAAATATTCATGTTTTTTTTTCTTCTTTTTCATTGTCTTAAGGTTTACTTCAAAATTCATATTTGTTTGTCTCGTTCATTTTTAAAGCTACAATAAATATTATCGATAATGAAGGACCTTTGTGTGAGATACTTTCCGTAACTGTTAGTTTAGTTGTTTAATCTTCTCTTAGTCGCTTTGTTTGTCTCTTTTTTGGATTGTTTCTAAACAATTTGTGGATTCGGAAATTTTTTGGAATCGTTAATGCACCGGGGGAAATCCAGTCGTTTCGCACTGGAATTTTTTTTAAATAATATTTCGAAAATTATTTTCAATTGAGATAAAGTTAATTCTAATTTAGACTGCCGAATATGTTCTTAAGGAAAAAATTTGGAGAAAATTTAGAGAAAACCTTTTGATGTGCCATAAAATTTTCCATTCAAAATTTTTATGACATTATTCTTTGAAATTTCTCATTACCAGAATAATTAGAAAAATGAGATTTACTGATTGATTTTGGTTTTAGTAACTGAATCAATTTCGAAGGTTTATCTTCCCTCTATATCTGTATCTGTGTATTAAGGATTCCAAGATAAAAAATAAAAGTAGAATTTAATGGAAGGAATACTTGGCGTAAAAACGTGTGCGACAGCCAAATAGTGAAAATCGATGAATTAATAAAAAATTAATTAACCGGTGAAATCTGCCTAACATCTAGTCGCCCATTACTAAATTAGCATTTACCAATGCTAATTAACACTCTAGTGTAATAAATTTTAATTTAATAATTGGTGTACTCAGGTTGTTGTTAATTGAAACCTAGAGAATTCGATTGATCCTCAAATTATTGTTAACCAGCCGTTCCTCAACTCTGGCATAAATTTATTTATTAATTTTTTTTTCAGTTTTATGAGGTTTTTTTTTGTTTTATCAGCTATTACGATCATCGTGCTATGGTCCATGTATTAATTATCAGCATAATTAGTGATATATTTGTTGCATTGATTGGGCATTTATTTTTTCATTAACGGGGACTCACGTCGGCCCAGATCTAATGCCACTGGAGAATAATTTTGTGTCGATAAATACATCCCGAAGGAAATAATGAGACTAAAATCAAATTTGAGATAATAATTATCTCCAGTAATAAAGCAGTCAAGTGGCAAAACGTCACAGAAAAAACCCTTTCGGTTTTTCTTGTTCATTGATATAATTTTTTATTACTGACGTGAATTTACATCAGTAACGAGAGGTTCTAAGAAAAAAAGGACTTCCAACAGAAATAACTTATAACGTTTTACCACATCACTTCTTCCTTCCAATTAAATATATTCTGTTCATCTGATTCTCAAGCTACTCCATAAAACAATGTGACAATCCACATTATCCTAAACTCTACAAAAAAAAACTTAAGTTCCTAATGCAATAGCGCAATCCATCGTAATTCCATTTCGAATATAAACTCAACACTTTTTTCATTATGTTTTCTTTTTAATTCCCTCACTTCTACCTGTCTGTCTTTATTAAGCGTTCAAATTTTCTCCTCAATCTTAACTAAGCGTAATTCGCTTTCCAATGTTTCGTCCAAGGACTCGAGCCCAGTCTCAAATAAAATGAGACATTGTCAATGAAAATTAATTTTTCAATCATTAATGGGAAGTGCTACTGCGAGTCGATTCCTTGGACGATTATTTAAAGCCTGGGTTATCTTTTTATGAACATTTGACATTAGATTCGGACTGACAAATACAATATTTTCAATTTTTACAAAATATTCAATGGCAACGTCAAAACAGAGCCGCGATGGTGATAATACGAGGCATCCATGCTGTTACGAGGTATTTTATCATCTCCTTTGTTTTGAACTCCGCTTTTTTCGAGTATCAAAAATATTTGAGATTGGTTTTTTCCCGTATTTCCTTTTTTTTTCTTATTTTTTATGTGTGCGGAAATTGTCGGCGTAACTCATTGAATGTTTATATTTTCAGATTTTTGTTAGACGGAATTGAGTAATTTTGAAAATCAATCGTCGAAAGTAATGGAATTAATAAAATTAAATATAAGAATCATGAATAAAAAAAAAATATTAAAAAATACTATATATATATTTTTGTATTACCGATTTTTTTTTCAAATTATATAATATTTGCATTTATATAGAAAAAAAAAACAGTAACTCATTTTCTAATTTCGTCTCTCGATATTCGAGATTTTTATTTTCTTCAAGAAATCTTCCTTCTTTGATATTTCTGAACAAAATTTGTGAAAGCATTCGATTAGATTTACTTCAAAATTAATTACATGAAAATTGAAAAAACTCAGTTCCCTCTCTTAAGAAAAAAACAAAAAATATAAAAGAAATTTATACATCTACATCTTTTTCATGCATAAAAAATCGAATCGTGTGACGAAAAAAAAAAATCGCCAAAATGTCAAAATCAAATATTTCTAATACTTGAAACAAGTGGTGTAACCCACCCTTAATGAATGACTTCCTTCATTAATCTCTAGTCTTTACCAAAAGCAACTTGGTGGCCAATTTTCGCGCATAATCAATCTATTAATTGTCGACAATAATCCTCGCCTTTTCATTCTCATTTCGTGCAAATGACGAATCACTATATACATTATAAATTCGTGTTAAATAATATTTTGGTAATGACCACGATCTCTCATTCTGAGATTTAGAATCGTGACGATGGAAGGAAATACCTTTGATTAATAAACAAGGTAAAAAAATTAGCGTAATCATTTTATCATATTCATTGTCCTCGGCTTAACGAATTTTTCACTCAAAATTTGTTAATCCAGGATTAGTTCAAGAGATCAGCGCTAAGGAGAGCCCTATGCGTCATTTCGTCTCCCAGATAATTCTTAAATCTAAATCTAAAAACATGATTAACTAAAAGCACCTTCAACATTTTTTTGTTTCCATCTTTAAAACATTCCACATTTGAAATGAGGCAGAGTCTTTATATATTTGTTGCTGGTAAAAATAAAAATGAAAAAGAAAAAAAAATTGGCCACCGAAGAAGATTGTCCAACTCTAAGTCTAACGAGCGTTCTAAATATTTGTTTTGCATTTTTTTTTTTGTTTACTTATCCTCATCCTCGAGATATGACTTATAATTCTCTCTTAGCTTCGACTTAATTGTTTTGGTTATGCGCAATGAACTGAGGGCTTCGGCACTGTGCATTGTTAAAATCATTATGCTTTGACACATTGGATTCTTTAAAAACGATTTTCACACTTTTTATGAGAAATGTCAAAACATCAAATGTCTGGTGAATGGAATTACGCGAAGTACATTACTCGCTTGGTGGCAGCGTGTACAGTTATTGCACGGGCCATTGCACCCGGCGTTCTGTCCTCACTGCAGCCTGATTGGTGACTTCCTTCCCCACTGAAATAAATAATTAAAATTAGATTATTTCCATTCATCTAAAACAACTTGAAGACATTAAGAAGATTTATTCCCTAATGAGTTAGAAAAAAATTTTCAATGAAGTATGAAAGATTATTTACCTGTCATGCTCCTTCTCGACTAAGTGATACCTCGCCCGGAATGCAACGAGATGAGCGTAATAAGCTGGAGCTGGTATGCTAACCGATCTGGTACATCTGACGTAAGTGTGACAAAGCTGATACGTCAAGCACTGAAGTTCGTCGCTCTCGAAGTGATTGTCGTCCCATAGTACGTGATAATGAGATGGTCTCGACGTTCCCTGTAGCAGCATAAATATAAAAATTAAATTAAAAATCCGACCCTGTACCACTAAAAAATTAATAACTGAATGAATATTCTTGAAACTCACCTGAATACCCTGATGACTGCACAAGTAGAAATCAAATTCAGTGGGATGTGTGATGCACACATCGACGGTGGTACCAGCAGGAATATTTCCACTCTTTCCACTCTGCTCCTTCTTATCAGCGCAGAACAGTCTCGTGTGGTGTCTCTTCTGAACGACAATAAATGTGATGCCAGGCTTGTAATCAGCCTCAAGCTTTATGCATGCCTCACGAATAGCAGTGAGTTCGTGCTGTAGAACATGAAGAAACTGCCCCTCCGAAACACCATCACGATAAAGAATAATTCTGAGTGGTTTGTATCCCCCTGTACTCTTGTAGAACATTAACAACAGCTCCCTGACCATCGAGCTCAACTCCTGAATAATCTCCTGCCTGTGCTGCTGGACTCGAACAGTCGCTGCATAACGAGACGGATGAGCATCAACACTACCAACAACAGCTGCTATACTTGGCTTCTTGTTATCACCAGCTGGTGGATGAGTGACATCAGCCCCAAAGAAAACCACTGGTTCGTTGAAGACTTTGGGTCTTATACTTGGCACTAGGATACTGTTTATTCCACCGAGTTTGACATTTATCTTGAGACAGAGATTCGAGAGAGTCTGGGGTGATGTTTTGTTGACATTCTTGGCTTGAACGCACTGGGTTGCCATTCCCAGGAGTGTGTCACCCACTCGTTTAACCTCAGCATAAACTGGTGTCTTACCAGGTAAAACAACACAAACAAGTTGAAGTGCCTGAAATGTGGACTTCAGATACCGAAACATGGGCTCAACCTGATCAGGCCCAGTGGCATATTTGCAGAAGCATGGCTGTCCAATAATAGGCATTCCAGCATCATTGCTGATCTTCTGTAGCTGAGAAGTGAATGCCCTGAGTGCATCCTCTCTGACTGTTCTCTGTGGCGCAAAACAGGCTATTGCCCAAACACGAATCTCCACACCGGTGTAAAATTGCTTTCCACGCATGTCCCATACACCCTGATTAGGCAGTGCTTGCTGCTTAGTCTGCCCACTTAGAGAACTAACTCTACCCCCATACTGCAACTTTGGCGGTGGCAATACTCTTCCACGTACCTCCATCATACTATTGGATATTGTCAATCCAAATTCCTGTACGTACGAGTCATTATTGAAATCAGCTCTCCTCACTAAGTTATTAATCTCCCTCTCCCTATCTGGCGCTGATCTAGCTGTTGCCTTTATCATCGTCGATGTTTGCATATCAGTCAATTTTTTAATACAACGCTGACCTGCAACAATATTACACACCTCTAGTGGCAGATAAGTGTGCTTATGCTCCTGACCAACTTGAAGGCACGGTAGATGAGGATAACGTAATTTCATTTTGTATTTATCTAAAAAGTACTTGGCAACAGTGCACTCGACAGTCTGACCATTCTCCAATTGCAGTGGAAATGACTGCATCTGGGCTGGCTTTCTCGTAACATTGCAAACACGATATTTTCGTCTCATAGTGCCACAGTGGGTGATTTCAATCTTGAGGCCCTTGATTTCTTTGGTAAATTTAACCCTCTGCGAGTCTGTCAGTGGTTTTCTCTGTTCATTGACGTCTCTGATATCGAGTACTTCGCACATAAATTCAATAACCGGTTGGGCTTTGTAGAATGCTGTTGCTGATACATCGATGTTGAGCATCATTTTCCATTGGGAGGGTCGAACAGACTGATGAAAGCCAAACCAAACTTCTCGGCCACCACCGAGTGGATGATAATAACCATCTGGTGTGCTGAAGAATGATCTGCCAACGGGTGTATACGTCATTGATGGCAAGTGTCTCATGACAACGTCAAGAGCAAGAATAGCGTCGTAGGGAATCTGTCGTGTTCGTCCTTCCAGGGCTTCCTCCAATGCATAAAGTGACACTTGTGCCAGCCATTTTATTGACACGCGAAATACTCTGTCTTTACCCTCACCAGGCAGTATTACCTCTAATTCTAATTTATCATTACCAATTGGCAATGGATCTCGAGTGTACAGATTATTTCTGCCATCGAACACAGGCTTGAGAGTTCCAAATATTTTACTGTAAGCGTGTACCATTGTCTCGATGATCTCACGATTGACTTTGCGTGGACACTTGTCTGGTTGAATATTTATGTCATAATGGTGGACATAACCACGTGGCATTGTTATTTGAAAGTGATTTGCTCGCAAGCCAATCGCCCGGCCCTCCCGCCCTATGTTTGGCCTTCGAGGACATGAGAACACTGGCAGTTCTGGAGGCTGAGGTGGTGTGTGTGTCTGTTGGGCAGGAACAACTCCTAGAGAGCCAGAGGCAACTGCACTGCTGCCTGCTGCACTCGCTGCACCCACTGCTGTGCTTGTTGTTGGCCCAGATGAGGTAGCTGAAATCATTTCATCATTTTAATTCACTATTTTCATCATTTAATTATCTTTATTTTCTATTGATATTATTTTTCACAGCAATCCTTTCCTTCCCTTCTTCCCGCATTTACTATTCTCCAAAAGAAGAGCCAGCAGATTGTTCAAGCAATTCCAATCATTCACTCAGAAATCAGTTCAATAAAATGGATAATGCTGCATTTGTATAACGGCGTGGGATAAATATTCGAAAAAACCATTAAATATCAAAAATTTCAGGTGTTAATTAATTTAAAAATTAGATTTTTGAAAATCCTCCTGGCAATACACATGGCTAGTGTAGACCTCGAGATATAATTGAAAAACGGCTTGAATAAGTGAAAGTGACTGTTTTTATTATTTGCAACTGCAGTTTTTGCTCCAAAAAATTTCCATAAAGAGCATGTGCTACTCCGTGTAATCAGACCAGAAATTATTCCGCTCAAACATGTTATCTGTGCAAAATTGTTCAAGTTTAATTGCTTCACGTGTCCCCCGAGATTTTTCCAATTTCCTATGATATTTATTCGCTTTCAACCAAATATTCACGCATTCCCCGGAAAACCCGTAAAAATAGTAATTCCGAGAAACCCGATGAAACGAAAAAAAAAAGGAGGGAGTTCCCACACGTCATGGAATCGAGTGAATCACATGGAGGATAAAAAAAAACAGAAAACACGAGGAATAGAATAAATCCCTCCGCCTGTTGAGCATTGGATAGGGTTCACCCAGGGTCATTCTCCTCAGAATTTTGTAACTCCCCCATTCCCTGGGGCCCATTTAATTCACCCATTTTCATATTCCGCTGTGGCACGACGCAATAAAATCTCTGGGAAAATAGACGTTAATGGGTGAAAATCGAGGGCAGATGCATCATTTGAACAAAGGGCTCGACAGAGAAAAAAAAAAATCGTTTGGTCGTGATTCTAGACTCGCCTAGACTAGTGGCAACCATCTACTCCTGCCTTCTCTGTCCCCCCTCCCCAGTCTTTCCAATTCATTGTGTTTTTATTCTCAACGATAAAATTCAATCCATCGCCCTCACATGCACTATTTCGATGTAATTGAGTTGTGTGACTTACGCTGGCCTACGGGATACATTGTCGGTGATTATTTGATGATAATTGTGAGGATTTTGTATCACTGATTGATGGGCAAATTATAACGAATGGATAATTTAACTGAAAGGAAATTATCCGACTTTGGCCCCGCACAACACTTCCCCACGAAACACACACTCGACTGGTGCTCAGAGAGTCATCCAGAGGTAGAGACTCTACGTGCAATGGCTGACACCTACGGACGCCACCATTGGACTAGCCGCAACCAATTGCATTCCACCAACGCAGGGCCGATGCACTACACAATGCGCCCTGCGGCCTGCGCACTTCTCCCACCACCGCCGTTTTGTTGTTTGGAATTTTCGTGGAATCTTTTCCGAAAATCCCAGGTGTCCAATTGGAGTATGAATATTTGTTTTTTTTTTCATTTTTATAGAAATGAAATTTAATTTTGATGAGAGTGAAATTGAGGGAATTTTGGATTTTTTTAAATTTTATTGGGATAGTCCAGGGTGACACTGGGGAACTGAGAATTTTGTGAAATAATATTCATCAGTTTTTTTGGAAATCCCATTTTGCTTTAATTATAAGTCCTTTTACGTAGTAATTTAAAATTCATTTTCCAAAATACCTTTCAGGAATTGGAGATAAATAATTTCAAAAATCCATGACGATTTATTTTCTCGGGAAAACACGGTCATCTAATTTCATGATTGCCTATTTTTTTTATCAATTGGGGATAGCCAATTGAATTGGAACAGAGTAGGGATGGCATCAGAGGAAATTCCCCCCCGAAAAATTGTTCGAGTTGAAAAAAAAAATTTAACTCAATTTCTTGATGATGTTTAAAAGGGAGAGGAGAATTAATTCTACGTCCCTGGACTGACGCCAGGAGTGAATTTCATTCTGAGAAGTTGGTGGGAGTGTCTTTGAAGCAACTTCAAAGCATTTGGATTATGAAGAACTGGAAAAGTAGTTGAATTTTTCGGGGATTTGCATTTTATTTTTCCGAGAATGTCGGTTCCATACACCGGAAGGTTCCGGTCATACCTGGGCCCAATAGCTGCAGTTGTTAAGCAACTGAAGATAATGAGTTTGAAACCTGTTAAGACGATTACCGTACAATTCGATCCATTTTACAAGAACGTCAAGGAGACGAGGTTAGTACAACGATTCGATCACTGAGAAAAATGTTTCCCTCAAATATTCATTTATTTCAAAGAAATATTCAGTATTTTTAACTCCTCATTAATAACCAATCAATAAAATTATATCGTTCCCCAAAATCATCATGTTAATTACGACTCTCAATAATTGGTAAATTAATCATTTCAGTGCCGTTGGAGAAATAATTTAACATGATTTTCTTTCTTGAATTTTTTGAAGGTAATATCGTGATTTTTCGAAAAACATTTATGGTGCTTTTGAAATTTCTTAAAAGTCTCTCCCCTTTTACAATTGTCACTGACACCTGTAATTACGGTTAAGGGTATCGGGTATTAAGTTATTACCAAAGGTGCCAGGTTTATTACCCAGGCATGAGAATTCGTGGAAAACTGGTATTTAAAAGAGCTCCGCCCCTACCGGTCTACTTTAAACACTTTCACCTTTTGAATTTTCCAAAATCCATAAGAAGAAAATATTGATATTGTCCCAACCATTCCCTTCCCCCAATTAAACAATAGATCTCATTTCTAAAAACGGTCAGGGGATTATCTTCTATAAGTTGTTCCAAAATTCCAAGACCTTTGCAGGTCTAATAACAAAAAATTTCGATTTTAATTTTTACATTGAAACTGATCATTTCTACGTAAAACGGTATTTTTGAATATATTTTTGTTAGTTAAAAAATCCGGATGAATTGGAAATATTTACTGGAAAATCGTTGGTTTTGTTATTAAAAATTGAAGTATCAATGTAATATAATCAATTATAATATTGTATTAGTATGTACGGCTGCGTTCATTGTTAAAAAGAGGTCGATGATAGCGCAGACGCGGGACATTCGATTTTCCGGTGGAACTCTGGTGTTATGAGGGGTGGATAGAATTATTTTTAGATGAATACCGAGTTGTTGAGGGATCGTCTTCCGGCGACTTTCTAGTTTAACCTATTCCTCAATTGAAAGAGCAGGTAATAAATATTTTTATTGAGGGTTCCTGGGTACTCAATGGGTGGAGGGTCTGTCTGACGTGATTGAGTTTTGAATAAAATCGGTCCTAAAGTGGTAAATAATTTCTAGAAAGTGAAATTGTTTTGTAAGTGTCCGAAATACCCTCAATACCCCAGTTGTTGCCACTTTTAGCCTTTCATGTTCCTCCCAAAGATCCCAAAAATCCCAAAGATTCCAAAGATCCAAAACATTAATTTTACCAGTGAGACATGACGAGTTCACGATACGCCAAGTTTTTACTCTTTCTTTATACTATTCAACAAAATTCGTGCGGCCATTTATTGAAATTTGATAAAAAATTTTTATTGACTCACCATTGCATTGACCACATCCATAAGCCGTTCCTAGCATTGAGACAGCTGTTGATATCCTGAGACTGGCCAGATCCGGCATGGGAATCGGCAACTGGTGCTCCAGTTTTGCCATATTTCCTAGGAAATGATAAATCGAGGGATTAGTTTTTGATTAAAATTTTTTTGGACAGATTTTGGGGTATCATTCGAGACTCGAGCTCCAATGTATTAATCACCTCCTATCATGGGTCTCCAATTATGACGACAAATCATCACCAGGAAAATGAAAATTGACGAAAAAAAATATTCACTGATTCTAGACAATTTCTGCACTACATCTCTGGCCCAAAAATTCTGCGAACCAACCTGACGTGCAATCTGAAGACTAATATTGTCTGCGACAGGTCCGAGCCGACAGTTACCTGCGATCTCAGTAAGTACCCTTGATTTTATTTCATTTCACCCCATTGAATCCGTTCTTTTACTCCAGCAAACGGTGAGAAGGTATTGTTCAAGTGTCAAAATCTCGAAACGATAGACATTCTCAAGCTTTACAACAAACATATAACAATACTGGCGCCGCCTGAACCCGAACCAGAGAAAAAAGGAGTTGTTATAAAGCTCAAGAAGAAGAGACCGAAGATAAGGATAAGCCGTCACAGGAAGTAAATCCTTGAGATTTAAAAAGAAAACGAGGGGAACTGGAAAAAATTTGAAATATTCATCACAAAACTCGACATAAAAAAGAAAATCGATTTTATTAATTGATCATTGAGTTGAATCGAGAAATCGATCTCTGAATTCTGGGAGAAGAAATTTGACGGGGAAATTACCGAAACATGCGGTCTACAGGGAGGTACAAGGATTATCAATTGGAACTGGTGGACACACTCTACAGTTATTTTCCAGCTTTCACAGACGTCTTTGATGAGGACACCTGGTATGTTTTTGTCGCGTGTTTCGTCGCAGGAACGATCGTCCTGGCGTTCATCTTGTCGAGGTTCATCACGATAAAACCGGTGGAATAAGGATCATTGTCGAGATTAATTAATTCTGCTGTGAAGTGGTAAAAGATCCGCAGTCACTTCAATTCTTGGGTGAGTTTTTCGGAGATGATGTTTTCCTCGGAAAATAAGGGAGATAGCGAAATTTTGTGATAACCTTTTTGCAGCTCTCGGGTAGCCCTGCAAAAAAGGTTTCAATGAGAATTTCGGTGTCTCGTTTGGATGGAGGGATATTTACGAAAAACTCACTGAAGAACTGACTTGCATTCTTTATCACTTTGTGGCGCCAGTTTCGAGGGGTGAATTTTTTTGAGAGATGATAATGTGTGTAAAAATGTTGAGATAAATATTATTCGAGTTTTTAAATGGAGTGTTTGATTATTTCATTGTAGACTAGTATTGAAAACGGTTTGCAGATCACTTAGGAATTTTTTAAATCTTGGATTGTTCTCTTTCGGTTTCGAATTGTGATAATAAAGAATTGGACATTATGCAATTCACAAAGTGAGAAGAATCCTTATTTCGAGGAGCTCTCGTCCCTTTCCTCCTTGAAATCAGTAATTCGTTCGTTAATTAAGGCTGACGTCGGCATGGGAAAATTCGGTAGAAAGACCTATTTGGAAATCCGAGGATCTAATCGTTCAACGAACTCCAAAAAAAATTCGCTATTATTTTTATCCTGTCGAGCAACTTCTCGCCGAAACTCGTCGAGAAACGAAACATCGTGTGGCCTCAGAACATCGAACCCAATAAGAAAAACAAAAATTATAAATTGACATGTGTTATTTTGATAAGTAACCAATTATTCATATTCTCTTTTCACAAGGAAAATAAATTCCAATCCCATTATTTCTCGTGCGTAAATTTTCGAATGGAAAATATGAATTCCTGAATCGAATACACGAATATTTTAAATTTGAAAATTCATACTCCCGATTTCCAACCGAATCGATTTTTTTTTGTCTGATTTATGCGGTTTTGTCCTTGCTATTCGCTTGGTTTCTCCTCAAATATACAGGGTATACCCGTCGTGCTGGATGTGCACGGAGAGGCCTTGAATCCATCGCGGCAAAGAAGTTCTCCAGGAAGGAGGAACGAAGGGGAAGTCGGGGGGATAAGGGAGAGGTACAAGCGGAGAGGTGCAGCCAACGGGTGAAAGAAATAAGGAAAGAATGGAAAAACATCGTGCAGAGAGAAAGAGGAAAGTAGACGTGTGGTTTAAAAGGCCGGAAAAACAAGGAGAAAAAAAAGAAGACCAGAGAGAGGGGATAAAATACAAAACTTTCTATACTTGTTGCACGATAACGGTTTTCGTGCTGCCCCTCAATTTCCATATGACAATCGCCATCATTGTACCCCGATATTTCCTCATAAAATCGTATTAATCAAAAAACATGGAATTCCATTTCTCCTTTTTTCTCAATCGGATTAATATTTTATCAGGATGAAAAATTGATTAAAATCAAATCGTTGAATCGATTCGATTTATCTCTCGCTTTTCTATATTATTGATATGATTATTTCATAATCATTGCGTTGGAGATCTTGATTACATCGATTATCGCCATGAATAATAATATTAATAGGGAATAACCATTGGGTAATTGAAAAATGAAAAACTCACCAGTGGTTTTTTGACGTTTTGGAGATGACAGTCTTAGATTTTTCCTTTTCAGTTTTGCGAAAAGTGAATGAAGCCACTGCCGATAAATAATATTATCCTTGATGGTTTTTTATTTATGGTTCGACAACCTCCGGTCTCGCAACATCGCTGGGACCGTTGGGTATTAGTTGAGAACCACTTTTGCTCGAGCCCTCTCGATACGACTTGTCTCTTTCCACCTCTGCAATAATAAAGAGGAAGGGATAAATTTTTATAAAAAACAAATTTGTTTAACACTGTAGTTGAATTATGGCGGGGTTTAGAGGAGGAGTGGGCATGCGTGAACCGGTGAGCGCGGGGGATGAATTGTCATTGGACTTTGGGGATGGGGCGGGTTTTTTTAAATATCTCGGGGGACTTTTTATTTTTATTTTTTTTTTTCAATGGGAACGCGAAATTATGGGTCTCGACGCGGCGAGAGTTAAGAGACGACTGGGATGTGGATGAAGGTGTGCAGAGAAACCCACGGATATTGGGGTATTGCGTTTCAAGGTGATCATGAGATTTTGTTTTCTGGACCAGTGAAAAAAGTCGAATATTGTACTCAGTTTTTTCAGCAATGCTCTCAAGAGGATTGAAATTATTACGGCAATTTAAACAATTTATCTCACAAAAACCAGTAATTTTCATAATAAAATTTATTTGATGGGTGCAAATTCATTTAGTGGAAATATATATTTTTTTAACGTCGTGAGGATTTTGGAAATTTTAAGTCATTCATTGAATATGAGGTCAATATAATTATCTGAATTATTTAATGTTTAATGGAAGAAATAGTTCTATGGATTAATAATTCTATTGAATAGTTCATTCAACTCGAGCAACAACTTCCCCTTGCAAAAATATTAGAACCCCATAAAAATTCTCACCACAACCTCTCATAAATACCTTTCTGTCTCAATAAAATCTCAACACTCATACCGGCGTCTTTAAAACAAAATCCCCGATAATTCAATTACTCTTTATCTAATCTCGCCCATAATTCCCTTGCAATTCCAGCCGCAATCGCTCTATTAAACCTACCGTGCAATAATTGTAATCTTTAATTTCCCCGAGACTACCCCCTTGAAAAATTCACGCAACAATAAAATTGAATCGCAAGTTATTTCATCCTGTCGTAGACTTGATTTTCTAATTCAATTATTCCATGAAAATTGGGAAAAATCGAGAAAATTTGGGAGTCAATGAAAATTCGATTAATTTAATTGTCTTAGAATTTTCATTTCACCTCTAGCTGATCACTTAATTATAATTTAACGAATTTATTTTCCAAAATTTCCTGACGTCCATGAAATCACTGAACTACAATTTTCCATCCTCCAAAGAATTTTCCCCAAATTCCCGGGACCGACTGCCACCGAATTCCTTCAAATTCCACCGAATCGATCAATAAAAATCAAATTCCGATTCCCATCAATTAAAAATTCCCCATCAACTAACGATCATCACCATAGCCGAACAAATTGAACCGAAGCCATTGCAAAAAATGTCCCAAAAAATGACGCAAAAACTAATCACTATTGCACTTGTCCGATCTCCCCCAAAGACCCTCCCCCCCCAAAAAAAATAACAAAACCGAGAAATCCCCCTCCCCCACCGGCGAAATTAGGCGCCCCTCCACCCCATAAAAAAATCACAACACCTGTTCAGGCATTCTTCATCGACCCCCATGTGTCCAATTCATTTACTCTCACAAAAATAAATAACTAAACCAATAAAAAATTTTCAGAAGAGAAAAAGTCAAAAATCAAGTGTCAAGGTTGGCCATTTTTTCTACGTAAAATACGCACACAATAAAACTGATACGCGCGCCTTCTCCACACACATGTTTCATCCGTTTTACAGTATCTTCCCCTCAGCCCCTTTCCAACCGCCCCCTTCTTCCCCCTCGCCACCCCCTCCCACTCCCCCCTGTCCAGTGGAGTCGCTTTATTGTTCACCGTTTGGTGTACGCGTTACACTGACAGAAAACTATTAAATAAAAAAAAAAACCAACAAAAAATGAACAAAACGCATAAAATACCGACTCCTAACCCAACAAAGCGATATTTACATGGAATAATTAATAAATTCAATTATATCATAATAATTCCATTTACCAGGTGTTTATTTTGCCCTGACACCGGTGCGTTGACGCGCCATTTCACAAAAACAAATTAATATTCCGTTTTTTGGGGTTTAAACAGTTATTCGCGACACTGACGATTTAGCGGGTTTTTTTTTTAATCTGAGGGATGACTGGGGGTGGGGATTTAATCACGAATTTAACTGCGAGCCTACGGTGGGGAATTTATCATGGATTTTAGTATTATTATTTTTTTTCTTTGAGTTCACTGTTGCCGCGTACACACGGAACATCGAACACTCCGTGACGAATTCTCGGTGGAATTTGCGGAGGGATTCATTCGGTCATGAGTGAGGGAATCATCCCCCCCACCCCTTCCGCCCCCTCCCCCCACCTACTTGTGCGATTCTAATCCTCATTGCGCAAGCGCAAAGATGGGGGACAGTGACGGGTTTTGAAAGGGGGAATTCGAGGGAATCGTGGACTCGTCCGTTCGTGATAAAAAAAATTATTTTCCCCAGAGTAATTGAAGGAATTACATTACATTTGTTGATTTTAATCTGTATTTATTATTGTCTCATGGAATTTTTAGTAAACCCCGAAAAGGGGAAATGAGGATTATCATTATTTATTGGTTATAATTGTATTGTTTGGATGTTGATAATAATTAGTTCATGTTCATTTGATGAATAATGGAATGTAATGTATGTCTGCATAATTCATTATTTAATTACGACCAGAGTGCGAATCAATATCGATGTTTAAATAATTTATGTTGTAATAATAGTAATCAAATTTAATCATTCATTTTTCTAGATGATGGTAGACTAATTAATGAGATGGATTATCCCATAAAAATCTTGTGGTTGTCGATTCTTCAGTTTTGACAATTCCTCATCAATATTGGAGCATTAAAAGGACTTGATTAACATTAACAATTAAATAACAATTAAATTCACGCCATGTATTTTTTGTACTCGCAAAAAAACGAAAACTGTCCATGACAAGAACAGCATTTCCTGTAATCTCACATACATCTTCACATAATCTCCACTTGTTTGTTTATGATACCCCGTTAAAGATCCGTTCCTGGATGATATCATTATCAATTGACCAATAGAAAGTCCCCGCGAACTAACCACGCAAACATCTGGTGCTGCTTGGCACCGCGGGGCCATCGATTTCCACCCTTCGCCGAAAAATCCCCGATTTCTCCCTCCAAAAAAAAAATTTCCCAAAATATCACCCCAAAAATCCGACAAATTAATTGTCCACCTGTTCAAGTCAATCACCCAGACTGATCATCAATTACCCACCATGACCTTGAGCATTGGTAATTGGAAAATGTTGGCGGCAATGTCATATATCGATTGTATTACTCGACCAATCGTATGTTTGTGCGTCGTAAATAAAGGGATGCCATTGGATGGGAGTTTTTCCCGCCACGTGAGTCTTGAATGAATCAATTGCGCGTGCGTTGCTCCTGGGGCCCCGGTTTTTCCGGATGGAAAAGCCTGGACTCCTTTGACACTGACTCAAGGTCAAGGGGAATGAACTTTTCACGAGGTTTTCAGGTGGGGTGGAGAGGGGAGGGGGCGGTCATAATCACACGAGCTAGCTGATTAGGCCGTTGTTTTTTTTTAGTGGAACAGGGGGAGAGGGAATTCGAGGGGTTTGCCAATTTACGCATGTCTAGTTCAAGGTCGTCAAGGTTGTTTCACCTCTTTGTCAGCCACCCACCACCCACCGTCCTTTCCAGTTCACGTACACCAAATCGCCAATCAATATTTTGGGGATTCGATTTTCGGGGGCGAAAATACTAGAGATTTTTGCTCTAAAAAATCCTGATGAAATTACCAATTTTAAATTAATATCTTCCATAATTAATTGATCAATTACTAACTCCCGAAATGAGAAATCCACCAGGCCTGCCTCCCCTCCTCCTTGACCACAAAAAAAATCTGTGCCAGCAAAAAAAAATGACAATCCAGGAGTAAAAATTGAAACCAGAAAATGTTTTAAATGTCATTTTATTAATTCATCCGATGTAAAGCCATAATCGAACAATAACTAAAGCTTGAAAAAAAAAGTGAAAACTCCTCCGTGAAAAAAAGAATGAAAATGCTGACAAGATGTATTCAATCGAGTGCCATGGGATCCTCTCCATCATCCTTTTTCTCAGTGGTGGATTGCTCATCATCCGTTGCCTCTGGTTTCTTCTCCTCACCTTCAGGCGTCTGTCCCGATGTCCTCGCTTTGATCTCATCATCGAGAGCACTGAAGAACTCCTGCAGATTTCCCCTGCCAGCTGCATTGACAGCATCAGTACCAAGACCAAATTGTCTGACAACCGAGCGAGCTTGGCCCGACTGCAAAGCAGACCAGAACATTGATAACGCCTGGGAGAACTGTGGGGATGATAGCGTGGTACACAGACTGTCACCGGGTGGCAAGTGCTTGCTCATTGTCCGTTCCAGGCTTTCCGTTACCGTTATCGCTCCTGGGATGCTATTTGTCAGCTCAGTTGCCATGGTTCTCTGTCGGACAATAAGCTTTGCTGTAGCCAACCGTGAACAACATACAATAGGTACACCACGTCTACTTCCCCAGCTCGTTACCAGTATCAGGATATCAGTCAACCACGTCAAATTCATTCCCATAAGTCTCATCAAAAACGTCGGTATCATAATTCAGTCGTCACTAACAACTAGTCGAAATGTCCAATCCTGATGATCAGTGATCAATAAAATTATCACTCCACTAAATCTACGCTCGATTGTAATCGGATAATTTACCCTCAAATTGGAGGATTCAGTCAGGAATTCAAATTGTTGATATCACACAACAAACTTATGGAATAATGGAATTTCCATGATGAGCTTTTTATTTATAATATTCAACTATGTCCACGAAACTTCGTTAACTATTTCCAGGAGATTATTTTTTATTCTCAATGTGATTGGTTATTATTCGTTGGTGAAATTATTTGAGGGTTTGATTTTATTCTAGTCACTGCTTTGGTGGTTTATACTTCATGAAATGTAATCGAATTATGGATTGAGTGAAATAAATAATAGTAATATGTCTATTAGATTGAGCGAAACCGGGAGTCGGAATTCTTTTATTAACTATTTCGACGAAACTGAACGGCTGATTTCACGAAACGTCACGAACTATTTTAAATAACAAATCTGGTGATCAATCTAATTAATAACTTGTCGACACTCGCGTCGACTTTATTTTCTTTGAATAACCGATTAATTTTTTACTGAAGAAGTCACTGCTCTATTAGTTTTCAATTTGTCAGTCAAAATTGTCTTTCATCCGGAATTTTTAACTGAAATCACTGGTTTTTTACTTCGGTAAATGTGATATTTCAAATTGTTTACTTTATTCAAAAATTTATTACGGGTTCAGATAAGATTAGATTAATAAAAAAAACTGTCACTATCTTCAACTGCTCTAACAAAACTCAGCCAATCGTTTTTTAAATACGTCATCTGATGATTAATACATCCAACAATTCGGTGAACACTTGCATCAATTTCTATTTTTTCTAATGCAAACCGATTATTTTTTCGTTATAAATTCCAAGCACTAACTCAAAATCACATTTCAGTGCCTCTTTATTGGAGAAAAAACATCAAGACTTTTAGTTCTGTGACAGTCCAGAAGACAATTGAACAAAATCAGATTTCAATCGACGATTGCCACCAATTTATTTCAATTGACGATTGATAATTTCTGCCTACTCATGTTTGAGCGGTCGCTGGAATATTTTTTCACCAGAAAACAATTTGTTCCGCGAGTTGAAAACGGCTCCACTACAGTCAATTGGCTTTTATATCTCTGAATTCGAACGACAGACTGAATGTTATTATATTTTATATTTCCCGACTGATACTGAACTGATACCGACGATAATTCTCGAATCGATTTATCATCAGTGACATTCTTGTCCATATGCTCCTTTTTTCTGTATTATTTATTAATTTTATTGTTTAGATGTAGATCTGTCTTCTGGGGCACGTCTCGTCCAGTGGGGAGTGAATTGCACGTGGGGTAATGACAGGGCGATGGTATCAGTGGTGTAGATTGACAGTCGTAGATTCGATAGTGAAGGATTAATTTCATTAATGACATTGAAATTATGAAGGTCTAGGTTGTTTACGAAAAAATAATGTTTTTCAAATAATTCTTTAAACATCAATCGATCTTAAAAAGCAATCAATTTCAAAAGGAAATACTGTGAAGCAGTTTTTATGATCGATGGACATTTTACGAAATGATAAAATTCGATTTATCTCTAAGCATTTACTCTTTCACATATTAAAAAAAAATTGATATACCTTAACCTCTGGGAAACTGTCAGCTACTCCTGGGCTGGTATTCCAGAGATGTCTCTGGAAGTCAAGCAGACCCTGGGGTATAGGTGCTTCTGGAGTATGTTGAAGAATTGCAGTAGCAAGTTTTCGTCCCAAAGCGGCCGATCTACTTCTAGATTTTCCACCTGAGGAGGTGGATGAGGAGAAGAAGGAGGAGGATGTCCTGGGTGTTTCCGTGACACTAGCTGGTGCTGGGGTTTGAGCCGCTGGTGGTCTCGTAGCAGTTGTCGTCACGGGTGTTGAACCTGTTGTTGTTGTTGTTCTCGTGATGCTGGGGCGCTCTCTCATGGTACCCAGGAGATTGCCCAGGCCAATCTGGCCAACACCACCGAAAAGCTGTATCAATTGCTGCTGGGACATGTTATTCAGGAGATTCTGAAGATCACCCTCGGGATTAGCTCCTCCACTTCGTTGAGAGCCCGGGGTCGGGGGATTGTTCAGGACCTCGTTAATTTTCCTGCAGTGCTCTTCATCCTTTTCAGTTTTCAGGTCCTGCACGATTCCATAAATTCGATGTTATGAAAAAAATATGAACATTGTTAACGAAGAGTCAAATTGTTAATTAATCAATTCAGAAGTACCTGCAACCAGAAGAAGAACTTTTTGCTCGACAATTTGAATTTCAGCAGATACACACGTCCAGTCTTGCACTGAGACACATGTTTGAACTCACAATCATCCGGGAAGATGATCAAGTCCTGCAAGAGATATAAGAGATATAATTATCCATCAAACGATTGAATAAATAGAAACAATAGAGAATAGCGAAAGGAGAGGAAACCTGGCAACATAACCTATTAGTCAAATCAACTTTGACACATCATCCTTTCGCTTGTCGGCGAATATCTGGGAATCTAACATAGATATCGAAATTTTCGTCAAGACCTTTCTTGCAGCTCTTAACCCACTCTACGAAAATGTTCCAATGGAAATTGATCTATCTCTGTTAGATACAGAGATACTCCCCGAAAACTCGAGATGATTAATAATGAATGAATTTCGAATTTCTCGAATGAAAACTCGAGATGATTAATAATGAATGAATTTTGAGGATTACGTCTTCAATAGCTCCGGAGGTGCGATCCTTCCAGCAAAAGTGCATGAGGGAATCATCGGATTGATATACGTAGAGCAATCCCTTCCTGGTATCAGGATGTACCATTTTTCCCTTCACAGTCATCTTGCCGGCTTTGAATTCGACTAGATTCTTGCTGCTACCTCGAACCGCATTATTACTGAACAACGCTCCACCCGACATGATAATTATTTACTACCGGATTATTCCGTCGAATTATCCCAATTACTCGATCTCTCGATAGGACAAGCAGACTAATGATCCTGTCCCCTTGGAGTAATTAGTATCTCTGGTCTCTCACTATCGAAATTTTAAAGGATTTTTAACTATTTTTTTTGGGGTAAATTTTAACCACAAGCACTCGAGTTTAGACTCTGAAAAATTCTCCACTGCCAATGACAAGGCAGTTAAAAATGGCGGATGTTGGACAGCGCAACTTCTTAGGATTTTCCTCAGCGAGACATCTACACGATTTCTTTGTTTTACCATCAGTTGATTTTTCTTTTTATCAACAAGTGGATAAAACATTTTCGACGTCATCGAGAATAATTTGTGTGTCAATTCAAAAATTGATAGTGACAGGTGCGATGATCATTAAAGATTTATTATGAACAGATTTTTATTGGATCGATAAATACTTGCGGATCCCTGAAGGTGGCATTGACGTCACAATTTGAGTCTAGAATTGGAAAGAAAAAATTACAAATTTCACAGTTTTCTTAGATATTCATTAATACCAAAAATAATTTAAATTTCTAGGTCAAAAAGCGCTCCTTCACGGACTGAGTGACAAAAAAAGTTAATTCTCCCGAATCATTGCTTAAATTTTCCGCGCAATGTTTCTTATCACTTTCGATAATTAATAATTAATCATCCCAATTTCCCAAAATATATCAACAGAAATTAACAAAAACGAAAGTATATACCCGTGAACTCCAAACACTAATTAAACATTAATTCAATTTATTTCTCCGATTTAGTGAAATAAATCGGTACCAGAAATCGTTCGATAAATTTTTACAAGTATTACATAAACAAATGTATATAACACGTGATAATTTGGGGAACGGGTCGATGTAAATAACGCGACAAGGGCATTAAGAAATGCAGTACCTGCACGGAGACTGATATTTCATCTTGAAAGTCGGTTTGATGCGGATGGAGAGGAGTTTTCTGCTTTCTCACTAGCTCCGGTATCCACTAAAAGGGCTCCATCATAAACGCCGGGTTATAGCTCCAATATGCAGTAAAACCCACCGTGGATGGGTTATATACGATCCTCCATGTGCCAGAACACCAG